CCACTGTATATATATATATATATATATATATATATATACACATACTTTCATGAGAGAGGGAGAGAGAGCTTTTTAATAAATCTTGTTTACATTATAATCAATTTTATGAATATATAAATAAATATTATAATGGGTATGTATATATACATATGAATATTTACATTTTATATAAAAATATATTAACTTAATTCAAAAGTTAGAGAGAGAGAGCCCTTTCTATGAATTAATTCTACCTCTAAATTTTTTCAATGTTATATTTTGGTCACTGGTCATCCTTACTCAACTGTAAGCTAATCCCATTTCTTACTGTTCTTATTTTCTTACTATATTTAGAAATGTCCCTGCCGAATGAACTTTGTTTTTGTTTTCTTTAATATGCCCAGTTTAACGTACTAATAATCCCATACAAAAACCATCTGTGTGGCTCATTTGTTGATTGACTCATTGGTTATACTCAATATTCAGACATCACTTGAGCATCAGAGCTATGTCTGCACACGTTTCATGCTCTCTATGATGGACAGTGGTTGCACCAAAACTCCTTTGATTAATATGAAAAGAAGCATTTCACAATTATTAGCTGTTGTTTTCAGATACCATTACTGTGTCCTGCAACACAAGTGGGCAAAGGAACTCAAGTAACTTAATGAGATAGCATGGAGCTAATCGACAGGCTAGGGCACCATTGGCTGGGACCTTGGCTCCCAGAACCCCCCTCCCACACAGCAGGGCTCGGTCACAACAACACCAGTGATTGAGACTGACAGGCTGTGCGCTAATAAAGAGATTACATGGAAATCCCTCTGAAGCCAACACTTCAGGACAGCATTCGCTTGGATATCTAGAACAGCTGCACCGCAAAGGTTGTCCATGCGTGAAGTTAACATTAAATTTAGGCCACAAGGGACACATTAACCAATCAGCATTATACTATAAAAGGTCACCGAACAGTGCAGGTTGTCTAAGCTGTCTACCGAGGCAGTGGAATGAAAGATCTCAATTTGCTTAATCTAAAAAATGTTCCTCAAATTAATGGTTGTCAAGCACAAAAATTGCTTGTTACCCTCAAATAATCACAATTTAAAGGGATGGTTCACACAAAAATTAAAATCCTGTTATAATTTACTCACCCTCATGATAATTCAAATTTGTATGACATACTA